AAATAGGGAGTCACTTCAACAGTTTTATAATCCTGCTCAGGGCTTTTAATCAGAAAACAGATGGAGATCTATTAAAAATACCACACATGACTCTAACAGATCTGCCTCTGCATTATGATGCTGCTGATGAGAGAGTGAGTAGATTTAAAACCTCACTGAGTACCCTAGAATTTGACATGAAGTACCCCACTGATTAAGACATTACAGCAAATTTGTGTGGTCCATTTTTCTGGTCCACAGAACAGCACCTACAATATTTGTGCTTGGCTATTATTCAACGGGTCTGTGTATCTGCAAAGAGGGATGATGAAATCCTAGGTAACAAGGCAAGAATGCCTACAGGAATTTGGGAACATCTGGAACTAGAAATGAGCTCAGCAAGACTTCACAGTTTAAGTAAGCATCCAGTGAATGACTAGGGAGTTGTGATCACATACTCTGCTGCCTGATACTGGCAGTTCAAGAGCATGGCTGGGGTCTATTTAAAATTTAATTTCTCTCTCTCTTTCCCACACATACCCACAGTCACTTTCAGCTTGGCCTCAGCATTAAGGACAGTCAGAAAAATGTGGTCAAAAGTTTTAAAAACTACTTTTGCTGATTGGTTTCCTCATTCTCTTCAGAATTCGCAAATACATTAGAAAGCTTTTCATTGCTTTCATCAAACAACTAATAAAGTTCTTACGTAGGGATGGACATGGTTCACATGTTTCCTGTTTCTATCCCATCCGAAACTTTATCTGAATGTTTTCAAGACTAAAACCAAAAAACATTAAAAAACCAAAAACCAAACCAAAACAAAAGCTACTAGCTGTGCTTGTATGGTGGGATTCATTTATGTTTTCCTTTTTTGATAGTGATCTGACTTGTCACCAGTTAAACCAGAATTACAGAATTATTACCCATCTAAATAAGTGAGATTCACAAACATATTTCACAGAGCAGAAGCACTGAAAACTACTAATCTTCATCTCAAGTGAACTGAGTTAGAAATCAAACACATTGAAAGACAGCAAAATGTTGACAACTCAGTTTCTCGAAGTTTTTAGTACAGAGCATAAAAGGAGAAAAAACAAAACCCCCATACCTTGTGATTGCATCAGACATTCATTTTTATACCTTTAAAGATTACTTACTGAACATGCCCACAGGTGTTTTGTGCATTAAATCAAGGAAGACATTAAATAGCTAAAATTAATAAAATGTGACAATACAAAAGACAATGGTTCTGTAAATTAAAGAATATTTGCTGATATTGATTCAGGGTCAGAGATAGGAAGCTTTTGGAATTTAGATAATTTCTGGAGAGCTTGTCACAGAAGCCCTAAGTAATTTCCCTTTTTGTTTGTGTCTGAGAGGCACAGGGGGTCCAAGATATGGCAGAATAGAAGTGTCTGGTTAAACTAAGCCATAAATTTTGCATGCAGCCTGCCTTGACAGCTTTTTTTAAATGCACTTTACTTATATTCTTTGCTAGCCCTTTATTCTGCTGGATTATCTTCATAAATCATCCAATTTCTAATCCTATTTTACACAAGCAGCTGGAGGCAAAATAGCAGACAGCAGCAGCAAAATTCATAGTTAAACATGAAGTTAAGCACAAGTTTACAGCATGAGGCCCATAGTGACTCAAGCACACATAGGATTTTTTGCCTTCCAGAGTAGGCCTTTCTTGTAGGTTGATAGTGCTATTTTAAGCATTTTTTCTGCAACAATATCTTAATAGACTTTTTTCTTGAGGTAGTTACATACAAAAGGATAAGTAAATGAATCAATAGAATTGTCTTCCACACTTCAGTGATGACAACAAGGACACTTGGATCTTAATCTAATTCTTAATGCTTTTATTTTATAATAAATTAATTATTTTTTTTCAATACTTGATCCTTTTGTGCAAAATATGATACAAAATCCTCTGTACTGCTGTTGCAATACTTTTGTACGGAATACAAATATATATATTTGTTATTCTGAGTTAGGTTCTCTTGAAAAATTCCAGTCATGTCCTGTGGCTCTATTAAAATATTTCATCTTCCTGAATTTATAAGCAAACTATATACTCTCCTCCTGGCAGGCTGTCTGACCTTACTTATTTTCATCCATTTAGAAAAACACTCACCCTAGGCAGAATATACACAGTGATGTAATGACTGTCTCTGAAAATACTGTTCTTGGAGGTGGCATCCTTTGGAATGACCTATGAAAAATGGCAGCCTCTCTTACAAATCACCTACCACGTTTGAAAGATATTTCCCCAAGTTTGTCTAAACTGCTTTGTGTAGAAGTTTTATCCTGCTGTTTTCCGTCATCATCTATATTTTGAAGGCATGCTGACAAATTTGAGAAATAGGAATTCAATTCGGCCAGCCTTGGACCCTGAAAGTTTATTTTTTCAAATGACAATTATACCTGCGCTGGAAAGACTTTTCCACAACAGCCTTTCACTGCATCTGACATTCTGATAACCAAGGAGCTTCTTCAATGTATGAACATATATGTGTTGGTCTCTTCCCTGCTTTAATATTTTATACCCCTTTTAGAAGTATTAGGAAAGGTATAAATTGTATTGCTGTTTTTCAGCATGCGAACAACTCTCAAGGAAAACCTAAATTGAAATTCTCTTTAGGCTGTGTATTGCACAACCTTTCTAATTTGAGAAATCTAATGTGAAATGGGGATATGTGGTGATAGCATCGCTGGTGCCTGCTATGTGCTATTGCTAAAGTAAATGTAGCTTAGCTAACAAGGAGAGATAAAAAATAGTAAAAGTATGCCCTGAACCTCATCAAATAAATTCCTACTTACCCACTATATCCTGCAGCTTGCCCTGCTTTACATTTTATCCTCTTGTAAATAACAGCTCTCAAACTTAGTTGCTAATAACCTGAGCTATGCTTGAACCAGTAGCTTAAAGTTGTACATCCCATGACCTCTCCTTTGCACCAGCCTACCACCTCAAGGCAAAGAACTTGCAAGATGTCAACTTTAATTGCTTCAGTCATATCAAGCAGATGTTTCATAAGGGTGAAAATTCGAGAAGTGTGGCCAGTGCAATAAATGAGTATTTTCTAAGACTTATATCTTACAGAATTTTGTTCCATACAAACTATAAAGTGTAGCTGAGCAGATCAGTCAGCATGCATTTTTGTGCTGTAATCTGCATCTGCAACTGTTTATGTTCACTTATTAGGACTCTTCAGTGTTGGCATTCTATAAATCAGGCTGGTAGTTGTCAAGGACTGCACATGCAGCCTAGACTTTTATTGCTTTTGTTACTACCCCTTTGGACAGCGAATAAAATGTTCCTTGCAAGCCAGTCAATGCATTGGGATACTCAAAGCGCTGAAAATAATGTATGAGAAAGTAAAAAAATGCTGTTGGCTGCAAAGTCATGATGATTTAAAGTCTACAGAAGGGAACTAACTCCTTTATCTCTCAAGTTGCACCAAGGATTAATATGGGCCAGTAAGCACATTTCTGAAGGAATGATTCTGAAATTATTGGAAGTTTGTATTTATTTTTTTTTTATGATTTTCAAATAGGGAGTAGGTCAAGGTTGAACTATTTCAGATAACTGCTCTTTCTTTATTTGAAAACTCTGTGCAAAGTGAACGGAGCAGCAGAAGGTAAAACAAATCTGAACTTACTTGGGAAGTGTTAAAATACATATGAAAACCTGACAAGATTGTGTTTTAAAACCGGAATATTTCCTGCTAATCTGGAGTGCATTTTTTCCTTTCCTGTTGACAGAAAATGTCACCTATAACAAGTATATAAGTGATATAACCTCTTAGTCTTCTACAATAATTTTTTATAGTATCATTAATTCAATTATTTAGCATCTGAGTGCACTATGATAGTTTAATATTTCCTACAAAGATTATCAGAAGTTCTAATATTTGGACCTTGTGGTAGGAACATATTTTATCTGCATTGTGTTTGATTTTTTTGTTTTATAGGAGGGTGTCTTCAACTAATTTATCTGATTCTGAAAGAATTCCCAGAAATTATTAAAAATATGAAATTGAAAATTGCAAAAAAAGTGAATATAATATTTTATATCTATGCTGTAAGTAAAAATTTTGAATGTATGTGTTCTACTGAGCTAAGTATCATAAAAAGTGTAGTGGAATTTGGTTCTCCGAATGCTTGCATTCCTTTGAAAATCAGACATAGGAGTGTGCTGGCCTGCAGGGCACAGGTTTGCTACTGTCACAGCCCTTCTGTTGCTTCACACTGTGAAAGTCAGCAAAAGTGGAAAGGCTGCTGATAACCATGCTGAGTAAACTGCATAAAATCCCATGACTGCAGCTAGAATAAAGCGGAGTCCCAAATCTCCCGCTTTCTGTGTTTTGGGTGAATATGTCACATTGCAGCCAATATATATGTGAGGGCTGCATAGCCCATAAAAAGCATAACTGAGGTAGCTTCAACTGCAGAGCTTCTGTAGGCTTTATAGAAGACTAAAGATTCATATTTTAAATACCTCTAAGAACATAAACGAACGGAATATACAAGAAAATTTAACTATTTGGTAATGGACTTTTTAACTGATTTAGCCAAAACCAGTTAATCCATGATTATTTTTTAGATAAGAAATTGTTCATGCACATACCAGGAATACTTGACTGACTGAATTACCTGGTAAAGTTTTTTGTTACAGCATGTTAGAGGTCAGGAACTCTTTGAAGTTGTCCATGATGCATGTTCAATGGGACTTATCCTTTCTAACACAAATATTAGGTATAACTTGTTGTTTCCAAAACGTAATTTGGTCTTTTTATTCCAGGAAGTGTGTGCTAATGTGCGTATGGGGGGCATGTGGCTATGTCTATGAATATCTTTGAATTATCAAATGATGTATGCTTTGACTTTTATCAGTTTAATTTTGTTTTTCATAAAGAATGTGACAATTTCTTTTTAAGTGAGTATTTAATTTGGTTAATTGATTGCTGTCTATACTAATTGTGATTTGATCTGGTTTTGTTCTGTCTCCAAAGGAACCAAAATCTTGATAACCAACTCAAAGTGAAGCCAAGTTCTTTCACAAGTGACAAGGAGTAAGTCTTCAAAGCTTCTCAGGCCCTGCTTTTCTAAGGCAGTGAGTAGTCTGTAGCTATGAGAATGTCAGGAAAGGTAACGTTGCAAATCTGTGAAATGTTTATAGATTAATAAATAGCATTCCTTATACAGAATTATGAATATAGAAATACAGATTAATTAATGAATTAAGCTTCCATACATATCTGATATGGTTCTTGATAAAGAAAAATTTTAATATAGTTAGAGAAGGAGTGTTAAGCCGAATATTGTAGAGCTCATGGGTGATAAGTGTTGCTGCAATAGGGTGCAACGAAGCATTTCTGTCAGCAAGTGCAGTGATCCACAAAAACCAGCTTGAATTTATATTTCTGAAGAGCACATCTGTTCAGTGTGTTTCAAGTTAAGCTTCTTGTGGTCTTGTAAGCAGCTCTTAAACACAACAGAAAAGGAGAAGCTGCCAGGGTACTGTGCTAGTAAGAGCTATGCAATATCTGTTACCCCTTACACCAAAATTCTACAGATAACTAGCAAATTATAATTCACGGAGAATTCATTAGGATAGACTCCAAGGCTTCAAGACACTACTGAATTATAGGAGGCATCCAAAGTTTTAAGATTAATATGCCTATTATGGATTGAAGTGACCAAGTTATCAGAGAGCAAACTTAGCCTTTTGCTTTTGCTCCCTACTTCTACCTAAAAAGAATCAGAGATTTTTACATTAGCTAGAGTGCTTTTCATAGGTCATTCCATTCTTTAATTCACTGGACCATTTAATAATGATGATGGTGGTAATATTAACAACAACAATAATAAAAATCCTGAAGAAAAACTAGCCACTAGTTTGTGTTTATGAAATTAAAATAATGTTACCTTATATGTAAACTTTGTGAGTCTTTGGACAATTACATTTTCATTGTAAGTACAGACATAATCGATGCTTTAATGGTTAACTGTGATTACACACAGAGGTAATTTCTTGTCATTCCAGAAGCAAAAATATGTGGACATTAGGACATGATTTTAGGTGACAAGAAGCAGACATTTCTTACTTTAAACAAAACATAGATTTTTTTTTTTTTGTAAATTAATGATGTGAATGAGGATTAGGCTGCTTGGAACCTGTAATTTAATGCTAAGTTCTTTGAAAGTTCATGTTTATTCTTCACTATCTTCACTGGCAAAGAAAAATGTTACACTACAGCGCTGATTTGATTAAACAAAGCCTTTTTATTTTCTTGGGTATTCTAGATGATACTTTTTATTTAACGGTACAGAACTTTAATTTGCGAGTGGAAAATTGTAAACATTTTCTCATTATGGTCAATAACATAACTGTTTGCAGATTTTAAACATAAAGTTAACTAATAATTTACTTTTTTCCTTTTAAATGTGTGCCTAAATATATTTCTTTCTTTTATTACTCTTTACCTCTTCTCACATACAGACAATATTCTGACAGTTGTTTTTGTTTGTTGTTTCAGAGGAAAAGACCTTAAGGATTTTACTGAAATAAATACTGCTGATCAGAAAAATAAGAGGCAAGGATGTCATAATGTTTCCCTTATATATTTATAAAATATTGGTGGTTGGCTGGATATTAGAATTAATAGGTTCTGTTTTGTAAAACTCATTGCAGGAGCAAAAAATAATATTTTTATTTGATTTAAACCATAGAACTTTAAAAAATTCTTCATTAAATACAGGGTAGTAAATGTTAATAACTCAGTGTGGAAGAAAAAGGTTCTTTAAATTGAAGTTCTTTAAATTAAAAGTTCTTTAAATTAATGTGAAATGTTCTGTTAAACCAAAAATTGCCTTTTTTAAATATGGAAGAGGAATATCATTATCATAAATAAATAAGAAATTAATATTTTCCTTAGCATCATTATTCATTTGCATGTGAGAACCGATGTTGCCATTTTTTCCACTTAAAAAATTCCTCAATGGATAATATTATTATTTTTTATAACAGATAATTTACTATAAAATATTAACAAAATTATATTAATATATTGTGTGGGTGACATATATTGCTACATTAAAATAGAGATTGTATACAATCCTAGATAACAGCACTTGTGAGAGGAATCTGGGCTGGGTATAATGACAAACCAAAGAACGCAGTTTGGCAGCTATCTCCATAGCTCATAGTTCTGATTCCTGTACTGAATGAAATTATGCTATCATCGTGTTAAACTGATAGAGCTATAGTCAGTTCAGGAGGTGTAGGCAGGCCCTTCACCTGGCAACATAATGAGACAGAGCAGTCATAAATTGAAGTAAGAAAGGCCCAGGCTGGATATAAGGAGGACTGTGAAGCAGTGGCGCAGGTTGCTTAGAGAAGCTGTCTTGGACAGCAGGCCATCTCTGTCCTTGGAGGTTTTCTAAACCCAACTAGAAAGAGTCCTGAGCAGCCTGGTTTGATCTCAGAGCTGCCCCTGCTTCAAGCACGAGGTTGGACTAGATACCTCTTGACATCTCTGAATTCCAACCTGAATTATCCTACAATACTATAATGAACTTCGCATTTTTTAGTAGTTTGGAATAGTGTCACACTTGAGATAAACTAGAAAATACTGTAGTATAGTCTTAATTTTATATTTTTTTCTGTTCTGTAAAAATCATTAGAAAACTCAAATTTTTTATTTTTATTTGATTTAAACCATAGAATTTTAACTTTTTTAAATTCCTCATTAAATACAGGCTAGGAAACAGAAATAATTTATAAAAATTCAAATATTTAAATATTATTATGTATTAATAAATAATGAAATAATTATGATTATTTTATTAATATCTAATATATGACTAAATACAGACTTGCCTCATGATTAACTAAACACTTAGGATATTAAACAACTGTAATACATAGTGTAGTCAGAATTTCTTCTTTTGCATACAGTATTTCTCTTCTTCAACATAAATAAATAAACCCATTTAATGTTTGGCTTGAAACAAATAATTTAGCTAATTCAGAGGTCTTCCTCAGTTTCACAGAGGTGAGGCCCTTGGTGATCACACTGAATTGAAGTCTGCTAATGACGAAATTACAAAGCAGTGAGACTCAATTCACAGTTCTTCCTAAAATCTAGAGTCAATATCAAGAGTTGTAGCTGGGTTGTGTGGTACCAGAAAATGAGAACTCCTAAAGTGAGCAAGCAGAATTTGCATAACTTGAGTAAGATGTCTCCATTATTTCTAAAATACACCTGATTAACCAAATATAAGTTTAGCTGCATGTATTTTGATAATAAACCATGACTCAAACCTATAATCTCCTGCAGTGAATGACAATGCCTGATGGCAAGATCTTCATAGGTATATTTGTGCTTATCTAGATGCTTTGTGAATTCAGATATTAGCATCTCAAAGAAATATAAGTAAATGCATCCACAGATTAAAAGTTTCACTGCTACTAAGTTTCATTATTTGCAGAAAGAAAGATCCATTTTGGTCAGTTAAAGTGAAATTAGTATTATATTCTTAGGTACCATTCTGATGGTATCTTTTTGAGTCTCCATTTAGTTGTATTTCTAAATGAAAAGGAAGAACTTAGCTAGCTGTATACATAAGCAGTTTTGTTATTTTTAATATAAAATTTACTATTTATTCTATCAGTCCCGCTTGACAATCTGTCTGACCAGAGGAGCATATACTGAATATCTCTGGTGAATGAGTTTCTCTTGTAGTTCTGAAAGGGGGCCTGACAGATTAGGAGTCAGGCACAACACAGGGGGCTGCTTCATGCAGCATGCTGTGCATATAAAACAGCGATCAGCACTGAGCAAGTTCATTTAGCAAAGCTTCCGACCTTGGCAAGTTCACTGAAATAGATCAAGCTGCAGCCCAAACATCCAGAGTCAAGGCTGATAATCATCAAGTTGTTTCAGAATATAACTTTTGGCAGAACCAAACAAGAGCAGCCTTTGTCTGAGCTGCTTTGTAAAATCATCAAAAACATTATTAGCACTTACCCCTTAAACCCTATAATTTGTCTGACAAGATTTATTGTTATGTTTGGTTGCACGTCATGTTTGTGGCAGGGAAAACTGCAGGAGGCAACTTTCATAATTGTATTTTTGAAAATGACTCTACATATCTGTTTAGTTGGTCATTTCTAATAAAAACATAACTGTATTTCATATATATATATATAAATAAATTTGGAACTAAGATATAGTAAAACCAATAAAAAAAGTTACAGAATACTGCCAAGAAAATGGGCAGTGCTATCAACTACTCAGACATTATTGCATAGTTGACAACTGCAGTAAGCACTTTAAGGTAACCAGAGTTCGATTAAAGTTAGATGAAGTTTCTGATATGAATATATCTACCAGCATTAACTAGAAGACTTAAAATTATAGGTCACTGATTCCATTATTTTTCACAAGCAACAATTTAACCGCCATAAGACAAAGATAAATTTCTTTTACCTACTGTTTCTAGCTCAAGTTTCTACACTTATGGCTGTAAGTGTAACTGAAATTTGTGTAACTGAATATGATTTCTAAAAGGTGTTTGTTTTCTTATTGCATGGTTTCTCCTTTTTAGGATAACTGAGCAAGCATATGAAAATCCCCCAAGGGCTCTAAATAATCTCCCAGAAACAAACTACTACGGTGACAGCAAAAGGAAGACCAGGTACTGTGGACAATGTATTGAGAACCATTACACCTAAAGGGGCATTTCTTGACAAAAAAAAGAGAACCCATCTATACGAGATATTTCAGGGACATTTAGAAACTTTACCCTGGTCTCTGGAAAGATGCCAGCCCCTTTCCAAATTCTGCTTCTAAGATCCCATGCATGGTGGCCCACAGAGCATAGCTGTAGCACACAGAGTGGAGAGCATAAGACATAGCCTGTGTAGCTCTAGAGATGTAGCTGAGGCATGAAATTCAGGACAGCAGTTAAGCCAGAATTCTTATACTATCAAAGAGTAAAGACATTTCCTCCATGTTGGATACACCACACTCTCAGGGAGCTTATTTATTTCAGAGGCTGTAAGGAAAACATCACACTCAAGTGCCTGCTAAGTTCCTAAAAGTATATGGGATGAATCGGAACCCATGTATCATCTCTCATCCCAATTGCTGAAACTGTAATGTGGGCTTCTGATTTTTGACCAGGTACAAACTATTTTAAAAACCATTTCTCTTGCAAATACTCTTGCTCTGGGTGGATTCTGTCTCTACAAACACACACATTGCAAATCTGACTGAAAAATATGACGTAGGGATATTGCATAGACCTAACTAAAGACAAGGTCTGTTGGTAACAGGAAATCATTGGAATAAAGGAAATACATGTTTCTTCACAGTCAATATGCATTTTAAAGAATTATGACAACAAAAATATAATAAATAATTTTGAATAAAAGACCTTCTTCGATTAGAAAAACCACCCTTTGGTACCAACCCACCCATCTATGTGGATTAATTAAGTGTTAACATAAACAGGACTATTTAAAGTCCCATATGTAAGGCGTTGTATTGCTGTATAGTGGTCGTGAACTGCCTGAATCAAGGCTGATGGCCTGAAAAAGAGGGGAGAAATCTTCTACTGAGCCTTACTAACAAGTAAAATAGTCACAGTCTGGTACTTCATAGGAACCATGGCCAGTGTCTCAATCCTTAATCTTATGCACACCTAAGCCTTGGTGCGGGTGTGACTGAGCACAGCGTCTTTGCTCTCTCATTTTCTTACATTTGCTGTAGGAGTTGGAGTGTGTTTGAAATTTGTGTATTCTCTTACTTTTGCATGGTCTTTCAGGCCAACCCCATAAATTGGCTGAGAAAAAAAACAAAACTCCATACAGCAGAAAAAAAGAAACAGCATACAATTTTAAGACTTTAACTGAATATTCCACACAAAAAGTAATTAGAATTTTGCAGACATACAGCTTCTGAAATGTAATATTCTGATTATCTTTGAAAATTAAAATAGAGAACAATAATGCAAGAATGCAGGGCAAAGAATGCACTTCACAAAGCACGTTGACAAAATGTATACCCTGTACCTGAAGCTCTAATCATAATTTAATTCATGAAAGCTTATTAAATGAATGGTCTCTGGAGGTTTATGCAATAGGTTCTACAGAGTAGTTGAGTAGCTTGCGGTATAAACAAGTCACACCATAGGAAGTAAAGGAGTGGGTGATACGAACTGAAAGAAGGTACTTGATCAGATATGCAGTCTTAGGCTGCATTGTGACTCAGTTTTAACTTAGTGTCTTGTCAAGTGGTCAGATTATGCATTTACTTGAAAGGTTCTGAGTTTCCTCACACTTTCTGTTGGCAAGACTAGAAACTGATGCTTTAAAAATATTTTTGCTGTAGTTTCATAGGGTTTTTTTTATTACAGAGCAAAATTATTTTTTAGGATGTGGATGTGTATGTTTTTGTGTAATTCAACCATAGTACTCTAGCCAGTTATTAAAATTCAAGGGACACTTTGTCTACACAAGGACACCTGAGGAAAGCTTTCATCTCTATTCAATTCCTATAAGATAAACAGTGTTATTTTCAGGCAAGTTGCATGTAAATTGGCTGTATTATGGTGAGTGTGCAATGCACACGACTCACTTTGTCCTGATCTCAAACCTGATTTAACTAGATGGTTTGAAATGTCAACCTGACTCAGCACTAGATTCTGCAGCTAAATACAATGAGTTAAATGGAAGACTTGGTGGGAGGAAAAAAAAAGCTTAATCATGAAAAGCACAGACAGGCCCATGCTTTAGAGGAATAGAGAGGTCATATTCCTATGCCACTTTTCACTACAGCAAGAAACCTCAGGGACTTGCACCACCAATATATTCCACCTTGTGACAAGTGTTGTGCATGTGTCTAGCTTGGTTAGGGCAAAAACAGCCAGAAAAACTCCTTCAAAATGTGATCACTTAGCTTCAGTTCGCTTTCCTACTTATTGAGGTTACTTTCATCTTACCTGAAAGGTAAATGGAGCGCTGGGTGTTCCTTTGAGGAGGCACTTTCTCTGTGGTGAGAAAACCCAGGTTTGCTACATAACTGTTAAGTAGCAAGCACGTTGTTATGTTCTATGAAAGGTAAATAAAACAATTCTCATTTAAGCTTCTCAGCAATTGTGCAATTTTAATACATTTCTGGTATTGCATAAAAAGTAAGACATACACACGTTACAAAAGACAAGTATGCAGAAGTGTATCATCTGGGCTGTTTAACATATTACACATGCATGTTATCAGTCTGTTATACTTTCCCTGAAAAAGATACGTTCTGCGAATGCACATGATTATAAAAAATGGTTCCTAACATTGCTAAACATTATTCAAGAGTGATATGAAACATAATAATTACCATATACCTTATGAATTTCTGGAGGAATAGCATAATTAAATCAGTCCAGAAATGTTCAAAACATGTATGGAAAGATGACTTCAGCTGTTACATACATGCCCATCCCTTCCATGCAAACAAAACTGACAGTTAAGCAATTAGAACTGGGACAGTTACAAAGGAAGATTTAGCTTCCCTGATAGTTAAATTCAGTATATTCCTTCCTACTCTGATACAAGGGACTATACCATTACTGTAGTGAGCACAAATCTCACACTGAACGCCCTGTATTATAAAGACCCTGACTCTACTTCGAGGGAGGTATTGTACTTTTGTTTGGCTGTTTGGCAGCTCTTTGAGGACCAGTGAAAGAAGAGGGGGAAAAGGGGAAAAAAGCAGTGTGTCACCATTTCCTGAAATGTATCATTTAGGCTGGGAATCTCAGCACAGGCAAACCCAATCCTATCATGTAGATTTTGCTCAGTGGAATTATGGATTTAATTTTGAAATGTTGAAGAATCATTCAGCAACAGAACATGGTCTAAGGACACTATATTTCTAATTTGTGTTTCTTTGTTTTAATTTTATATATTATTATTGATGGCTGTGAAGAAGATAATATATCACCAAGTATGATGATTTTATATTTTTTTTACAAGCATTTTACATTAGTTTTATTTGCATATTATCATCAGTGTAGTGAAACCTTTAAAATAAAAAGTACTGTTTAGTAATTGCTATTCTTTCACTGATTCACAGCAAATCATCATATGGTACCTATGACAAAAATATAACTGGAAATACTATCAAAACTGTTTACTCTACTTCTGATCGGTGAGTACACATTAATAACATTGTAGAATACCAAAGGACAGAGACATTTTGCATAAGCATTCAAGTATTCAGACAAAAGAGAGCAGTGGAAGTCCCCATTAGGCTTGTCAGACAGCTTTTCATATGGAGCTCCCTTTCAGTGGGGTCACGTCATCAAATCATTACCATGGTTCATCAGCCTAATGTTATGTTAGCCTTGTCACAACTGACATTTTAAAATATCTATAGAAACAATAGCCAATGCCTTAAATGACAGGGTTGGCTTTGTGAGTCTGTAGGTTTCTACCTTGGGCAGCTTCTTATCCTGCAAAATTTCCTTCCTTTTCGGGGATGGTGTCTGTGATGACCAACTCTGTGTACAGATGTGGAAGAACAGCTTCACATGACAATGCTGTTAAAAACTCTGTGTTTTCACACCAGCTAAAATATAAGAAGGATATTTGCTCATCAGTAGTACCTTACCCCATAAAAAAAAAAAAAAGAATAAAATAAATGTATTTTCAGCTCAGATAATCTGCACAGTCCCACTACTTAGAAATAAAGATTTTTTTCTTTCTTTTCCAAAGTAAATATAAAAGACTCTGGGCATGACTAAATATTAGTACAGTGGTTTACTATTGAGTGAAAAGGAGCAAGCCCAGTTGATACGAGACACACCAAAAGTTGTATCTAGGGAAAGTACATATTGATGCCACATAAGAATGCAAAAAGAGGTGAGAAATTTTTTTAAACTATGATTGCTATGAATACCAGGTAGGCTGTTCTATGCATGTGTTCACTATAACTGCAATGAAGGTAGGATTTCTGCCTGTGTTTTCAGGCTCTTCTGCAACGTAGAAGACAGTTCTTTATCAGACTGATTGAATGACGGCAGTTTAAATTCAACTACCAATTTTCTTTTGTGATTAAATTGTTAAAATCATTATCCTCCACTTCATCCCCATTTAGTATACATGCTCCCAGACATTCAGCAGCTTAATACAGTCTCATTATTGTTTGAAATCATTCAGTTCACCAAAGAAGACCATTCTTTCTAGCAAGGTATTTTTTGCTAGTGGACTATTATGCTCAGCAATTTGCTCATCACAGGAGCATGTATATTACAGCTGTCAACTAGAATGGAAGGAACACACACATGATGTTTTTCCATTTATGGCCATTGTACAGTATACAAATGTCTTTCCCACCTAGTGCCCTAAGCTTATCAATTTTCTCCTTGAGATTTCAATAGTAGTTTTTTTTCTGACAGCTGATGTTGTATTATATACACAGGAGTATAATTGGAAAAGATATATGTACATACTGCAGGAAGCCCTTGGGCATAGATGCCAAAATGATCTTAGATGCCTTGCAAATTTGCTGTCATTCAACTTGCTTCAAGGTAAGAGGATTTCACCTGCTACTAAGAAATATAATTTGAATGTAATACCTGCATTACAGTACACAGGTAATAAGAGAATATTTAGGCCTTAGGCCTTCTCTACCTGGGAGAAGAGGAAGTCTTGCACCCTGGAGATGAAGATTAATGTAGGAAATACTAGTCTCTCTTACCCTACACAGTCTCTTCCTCTTTCTTTTCATCTCTCTCCCCCTCTTCCTCTACTTTCCCTCTCCCTGTCTATCCTTCTTTCTTGCAACCACAAGGAGGATAAAGGGTGCAGTGTAATGTACCCTGAATCTCCTACACATTTATAAGGTTTCAGCTGCACAGGCTTCTATCTGATTAATTATATCCTACTTACACTTTCTTCATATTGTAAAATTTTATTCTGTTTTTCTTTTTGTGAAGCTTTGTAGATGTCCTTGATTAAGGACAACTATGGCTTGTGCAGAAGCCACACTCAAAGGCATCAGATCAGTAAAAGGTATTTAAGGCAGAGGTAAAATCATTTTACCCACTGGGATCAAAGATTTGGTTAAAATTTGGGTCTTACAGATAGTTTCTGCTGTAGGATAAAATACTGATGAAAATGGATATGCCTTCTCGTTCTATTACAAATTATGTTTGGTTTCTTTTTTTTTTTTCCTATTTCCAGTAAGATTGAAAGCACAGAAAAAATTTTGCTTGTCATTCCAAAGCTTAAGTCTCAGCCTAAAGGTCACTCTTAAACTTTTCACAGGGTATGCCTATCAGTGCTCAGCCCTCTAGTCTGTTTTCCTTCAGCTTCATTTGTCTTAATTCTGCTTGCATCTCAGCACAGTTTGTTGTTCTACCAAACAATACTCTCAAAATCACACATTAGTGTAGCTCATTTTTCTGTCCAGCTTGCATATACTTCTGCTTCTGACAGCAGTTCTTCTACCTAGTTATTGCACAAAAAGTAACCCAAAGCAGAATACAGCAGTAAGGCTATACTTAACATGTATGAAGTTACATATGTTTTTTGTCTCATATGGACTTTCTAAGCCCTGTGAGCAGTAGAAATGCAATTTCTTCCACGTAAATCACTATGTAATACCTTCTCCATACTCCTACTGCAAGTAAATACAAGCTCTGGTTTGCTTCTATTCTTTTTGGATAGATCAACCCACATAAAGAGGAATAGGCTTTTCACACAGCTAGGAGTGCTAACATCCTAGACTGGTATTGGCCAAATTATCTGTTAAATATATAATCTTAACTTTTAAATTATATCCTTTTTGCTACCTATTCTCAAGTGGGGACATTTATGGTCAGCAAAATTCAGCTTAGTTTTATGTAACTACACATTTATGAAAGCATTGGCAAAAAAATTAAACAGCTAATGTAGGTCTGTGGTTCATGCTTGTAGTTATGTATTTAACTAAGTAGTGCAATTTCCTATCATTAATATTCATTTAGCTCTTTACAAATACCTTGTATCCATTAGAGATCTCTGTGTAGCTGGCAGCAGCATGAGGTCTTTGTTTCCTTGTAAAGGTAATTATAGAATCATAGAATCATAGAATGGTTAGGGTAGGGAAGGGCCTTAAGATTACCTAGTTCCAAACCCCTGCCTTGGCCAGAGACACCTCCCACTAGAACAGGTTGCTCAAGACTCTGTCCAACCTGGCCTTGAAGTTCAGTGAGTAAATAGTCCAGATTGTAGGTTTTTTTCTGTATAAAAATGCTAGCTAATTTTAGTGATCAATGCTTTGAAAACATGACCATCCTTTTGCTGATTTATACGAGGGAACATAAAACTAGTGAAGGTAGCAGACTATTTTAATAGTACCTTAATATTAACAGCTTGTGTAGAAAAGATATAGAAAAAAAGCAATATGGTAAAACATAAAAAAACAAGTTGCTTAGTATTTTCATATGTTATGCTAATCAATGCAGAGTGCTCAGCTGAAATTTCATACTAGCCCTAGTGAGCACATGTAATCTAAGGCAATTGCATATTGTCTGGATCCTTGATCTAATCCCACTGTCTTTAAGTCCATGGTGTTGACATCATTCAGTTTCTTTATTTGTTTAGCTGCTAAAGGATGTTCTGGGTAAGGCTTTTAATCTTTAATTTTAATAAAGATTTTTAGTCCAAATTTATCTGAATAGACAGCCATTATGAAAATTATGGGAAGTCTCTGGTTTTCACTTATCAGAGGATAAAATATCCAAAAAACCCTGAATTTGTTATTCTTTCATTAGACTGCAAAAAATGGATGGTGTTAAGATTCTTGTTTATAAATCAAATTACTTTGCTCCTTGGTCCACTGTAGGCTTTCCTTGTGATCTTGGGAAGTCAACCTCTGTGCATATCTGTGTATTTTCATATGTGAAACATAGCCAATGCTTCTGTATCTCAAAAATTATCTTTGTGAGACATTTGTGAAAGCAGTGTCCAGATTCTGCAATAACGGGGGAGACAGTTAATGATTAAGATACAGTATAAAATACTTTTAAAGGTTTAGGTTCTCTAAGATGTACTCTGAATTGGATTAAGCCTGATCATGCTTCCTTTACTCAGTGAACAAACAAAAGGATCTCAAAAGGGTGATTCATTTTATTTTAGAATAAATCTCTAAACTAAGACAGAAAGAGTATACTTGGAAATGTCTGGGGGAAGGAATGGGTTTTCAAGTATAATGAGAACCTAGGGAACCAGTTGAGACTTAGGTTTCTGATTTTTAGATATCAAAAGGTGAGATATTCATATGTATAATTGACTTTATTAAAACTGCTCTTTCAGAGGTCAGATTAGCTGATGATGCAGTACTCATAACCCTTATTCTGGTCTGTGGTTGCTTACTTCCTAAAAGATAGCATGCAGGGAACGAATATTAGAGGATTCATTTTAATTTTTTTTTGTTACTTTTCCTTGTGTGTCAAAGTGTGAAGTATGTAAAAGACCACTGGAAGATCTGAGAGCAGGAGACAGCATTTGGATTTACAGACAAACTGTGCATTGTGAGCCTTGCTATTCCAAAGTTAAAGGTAAGATGCAAGATGTATTGTACTGAACATAGAACAAGAGTGTAGAGAAATTCATTCAAATAACTTCAATATATTACCACACAGCTGTTGCTTTTGCTCATTTCTGTTCACTTAAACCTTTTCAAAGTATTTCATTCAGTAAGACAGAGTTAGGATAATATCCAACAGCAGGTTCTAGACATAATAGTTATTTGGTACTTGTGAGGAAAATCTCTTTAGGTCTCATTGAAATCTGTAGAGTCCTGCCTCTGCTGTCAATGGAGACACCTACAGTGAGTCAATGACATCTTACCCAGGAAGTGACAAGAATAAATTGCAAGGCCACCTGAGAACCAGATTGTTCTACTGAAACAAATAAACCAGGGTTCAGAGGTATTTTCACCTAATGTAGTCATTGCGAACAACAAAGAGAAGATACAAAATCTATTAAATCATAATGAAAATAATCTACTGTGAGTACCATTCTTACTTTTGTGAGGAGCATAGTGAGTAAACAAATGTGCAAGCCACTGAAGAATGAAGCTTTTGTTTTATGAATTATTCTAGAAGTTGCTAGATTTTAAGTCTTCTCTATTCATGGTATTTATTAATTCATAACGCTAAAAATCAGTACCTCTGTACCAAATAAAGACAAATGGAAATGTAGATGAAATGCTCTGATAAGGTGGTGCTCACCAATGTACTTCTGAGATATGCTCATACTAACTAAAATTAATGAATTTGTTTTGTTAAAATACTTTGTGTTACTATGCCATTGCAAAATTTGATGGAAAGAGTGAATTTTACAATTTATCCAATTATAAAATTAATAAGGTATTTTGACAGTTATTAAACTGTAGGCAGACAGACCAAGTATCTATATGTTAAGCTTTATAAAGTAACATACCCCATTTCGGCAAATGACAAGGTGGGACTTCAGTAGATTTTATAAATAAAAAATAAATAAATAGATCTAGTTTCCTTGTGTGACACTTAGAGAATACTGATTTGCTGGCATTTCTGATCAATCTTTTCTCTTTTGCAGAAAAGTGGATTTACTAATTTGACATACAGCGTGATAAAGAAGTTCCACTAGTGTTTAGTTAAGTGTATTGCCCTGTTAATTCAAACCACTATGGAAAATGATTATTTTTTACTGCTAGGAACAAATACTTCAAATGCAGTCCCACTGCATGGTTCCCAAAGGAATTAAGTGCTTGAGAATCTGGGTGCTTTCTAATACATACATTCCAGGAAGCAAAACAAGATATTGTTCAGTATATTTATCAGATTTGTGAAACTACATGGAAAACTAAAGATAGTTTATTAAAATTTTCTGAATGGCAGGATATACTTACATGTATGTTTTGAAGGGGCTGTATTCTTTTTACTGAAAACACATCTCCTCAAAGACCTGTTACCTTTATATAGCATGAATAGGATTAATCTCATCAAAGATTAATCAGTTAGAAGTCAGCTATTCAGTTTAAACCACTGTTTTAATACAGAGTGAGGTGGGTTCACTCTGTGCCTTTCAGGAGAGACATCAGTCTGCAGAGGAAAATTATTCCCAACTAACTTAAATGATAAATTTAAGATGGAACAAATCATCTTTGGAAAATGCATCTCTGTTACTGCAGAGGAATTCTAGACAAAAAATGCTAGAGGATTTCAATTAGAAGTAACCCACCCCATGTCTGTAATTCTGGTAACTATTGTACACCCCCTTTTTTTTTAAAGAAGTGCACACTTAGTAGCTGCCATGAAATCGTGAAATACATACTCTGCATGCCACTATGTTGTATTTATCTTTCCTACCTTATTAAGCGGAATATCTAAACACCTTAGATGGATTCATCTCACTTAAACATCTATACTGCAGACATTGAAGTTTACTTGTTCTATTCTGTCTTTATACTCATATAGAGAAGTAGACATTTTTAGGAAGTGATTCAATTGGTCAGATTGCAAACATCTACTTTACCGTGATGTTAACCATGCTCTGAATGTATGTTTTACTTTCCATGGTTTGCAATGGAACCTGGAGTGAATAGCTCAAATTTCTAGACATTTACATTAGGCCAGTTAAACTCCTTCCTTTGAGACTACAGTGAAAGCATTGTTTTTTTCCTTTTGAAGAGAATATCTTCATTAAGGTACAGAAACTGGAAGAAGAGCTCGTCCTCTGTTATAATGTTTCCACAACACTCAGTAATTACCTATTTGTTTAAAATAATAAATAATTCAGTCATTTCCTAGACAAACAAAGGTGTTGACTACTAGTCTGTGCCATGAGATGTTTCAGATCATGGTTATTCAGAACTGACTTTCACCACCTACATCTCAAAAGGACTTATTGGATATGACCATGACAGACCTAGAGCGCTCGGAGGCTCCTGGACCTTAGCAAAAGCTTAGAAGGGCAAAAAGTGCCGAAGCCATAGATTAATATTAGGCTGCTGAATGGCTGCCTCAGACAAAATTCCTCTCCTCATCTGCACATTCAGTAGTGGAGACAGGAGGTATGGATGTCTGTGTAATTTATACAATTGGGTCTGCAGCTGAATAATGATGTAATCTGTCTTGCCTGGCTTGAAGGATGCTCAGACTGATATGTAAAGGACCCGTGAAACAGTAGATAGTTTGTTTTGTTAATTTTATTAAAATTTCTTATTAATTAATGGCAGTAGCTTTAATAAACCTGTTATTATAGATTTTTTTCTGGTGTGTGTCTCTTGCTGATGGCATATTCTAGTTAAACTATACTTGTTATTACCCTGTGCTTCACCAGGAAACGAGACTTGCAAAACGGGTGGAGAAAAGTAGTGGTGAAATTTTAATGTTGGGGTCAGAGATTTGGTCCTGTTCAGCGGCCAACATTTATTGCTAAGGCTGTTACAGTGAAAGAAGTTAGATGTTCATTTGAGCCAGCTCATTAGAATCCAGGACTTCCTAGCATTTTAGAGGATTAGAGATTTCAGTTCATTCCACTAGAGACCAGGAGCAAAGTCTGTATCCAAAAATCTGCTACTTAAATGATCACAGAGAGAGAAGCTGCAATAAGAAACAATAAATAATAATTCCATGCTTGTTAATTCATACTTGCTGAACAACCCTGGTAATTTTGCCATGTGTTTTTTTGTTATTTTTTATTATATGTTGTAAGTTTGCTGAAAAGAAACACCGGGTTTGTGATGCTTCATATTTACCATATAAAAGCCAGCATGGCAGTAGTCATTAAAAAAAAATCATATTAACATCTCAATACCAATGTATCAAAACTGAATTGTTTTTTTGTCCTTTTTGCATATCATTAGCATGTGGTGTTTTATTTCTCTTTGACTAGTGCTTCCATGAAACAATCCAAATGAACAGTTTGCTGGCAGCTGTTTTAATGAACGTGTTATCTTCAATAATGCATTAAATTAGACTGAAAAGCTCTATTGAGAGATGATGTACTAAATTATGTGGGGGTTTTTGATTCATCAGGCCCATTTTTTCAGCGTGTAATGGATACTTTATCTTACAAAGCTGGGGCATAGCTCTACAGGGGGCAGAATCAAGCAATAAGAGGAAAGGAGTGAAATAATGCATGTAATATATATTGATGTATTTAAATATGTAGATTACTTCAAAGCTACTGATACAACCTTTTTCTCTTAAAACAAGCATCTCTCTGAGTTTGACAAGACATGCTCTCTGTTACTTTGTAGAGCCCCCTTAGCTATGCTTGTAAAGAGCTGGTCAGCATCAAAGAGGCCTTCAGAGGTCAGCTCTATTCCCCACTCCTTGCTATGGAGATGTGTGCTGCATTGGGATTGTTTCATGTGTTTAGTTTATTTACTCAGAAATCTGCTATTCCAGTTGCTTTCCTTGATACTTTAACATAATCCTGTTGTTTAGGATGAAAAGTATCCACTTTCCTGGTTGGTTTTGCTTTCTGATTGTACTTGCATGTCGCTCATTGTAGCTACTCTGTTACACTGAGAGGTGTTTTTAGCTTCCAGTCAAGTTGGTGTCAGACTACAAGGGAGAAATGTAGCTTCCTTTTTTTTTCCATCTGCTGCACCAAACCCCCTCATTTTTCTTCAAGCAGTGTAACAGTAGAGATATTCTTCATTCCATAAAGACAAAGGATAAAGACACTAAATACTCAGGTAGTTTTGATACTTAGGTAGTGCCCAAATCTGAAACTGTTGACCAAAATAGCTCTGTTTAGCTGGTTAACGGATGCAGAATCACTGAGGTCCTCAACCCATTTTTCCTTCTTTTACTTCAAAGGCCCACTGTCCTGTTTTCTGTTTTGCTTGATCTAAGCAATGCAGCTCTAATCTCCTGCATCAGTAAAACTGGGACTTAGAAACATTCCTTGCATTTCAGGGAGAATAGCCTGCAGATATTCTCAAAATGTGTTTGGCACACAGCGCCGAGATCCAACCTCCACAAAAATCTCCTGCTAATTACTGCTTTTTAAAATCAGGGAGGTGCTGTTTTCCTCTTTGAACAGATTACTGGCCCAGAAAGTGGAAGGATCAAGTTCAATTTCTCCCCCATCTTACCTCTGTTTTAACCAAGTCATGTAACACAGTGGAACAGGCTAGTGTATGGAACTAAACCAGGCGTTGTTGCCATGTTCCCTGATATGGGTGGAGGGTGGAACCTTATGGCCCATGGCCTGCAGGATAGCTGCATTGCCTACACAATCACTAGCTGCCTACTGACCCCTCAGGAATGACTGCTGAATAGAAAATGTAGAGACAGTCCTGGGAGCAGAGACCAGATCCTGGAATTTCTCCATCTCATCTAAGTGGTCTAATTCATAATTAAAAGCAGTCTGAATGATCCTCTGTTTATCTCTGCTAATGTGTTCCTTTCTAGCAACGTTAGAGGAGTTGTCTGCACTCAGATTTGGATAGTGTAGGATGCTAAGAGAGTGGAAGTGTTGGGGTTTTCATCCGAGATTACTAGAAATGTCTTAATATGATCACTTCTAAGCTTTAATATCCTATTTGCCTTTCCAGTATCTGAGCTGTTTTGGAAAGGAACAAACTCCTTGTTTGTGCAGCACCCAGCACAGCAGTGGCCTCTGGGTGGTACTGCTGCACCTGCGTAAATGGCTCAAGAAAAAATCAGATTTCATTCCCTTTCCAAGAAAGCTACTTGTAAACGTATTATTCTTCATGGAGTTCTTATAATTGTGTCAGTTATAAATTGACAGCTATAATCTCACAGCCTGTGCCAAGACTTAAAATTGGTTGGTTTTGCCCTGTTAGAGTCAATATATGAGCACGATCATGCCAAAAGCACTTGTCTGAGACTTGGCATTGCTGTGCAGTCATCAGACATCTGTTTAGGAAGCTTAGACAGCTATTGTGGTGAGAACAATGTGCAGCCAACATTTTAAAACTACCTACTCAGGAAAACAACGTAAGAAAAAAAAAAAAAAGAGAAAAAAGGAAAAAAGAAGAAAGAAAAAAAGAAACAATCACTTCTGGAAAGAAAGGGCAAAGCTTTTTCTGGCATTCAAGCCTTTTTTCCAAATGGTGGTAGGGGAGTGGGTGTGGAAATAGTGTTCACATGTCAAAATACCCAAAAGAAGCAGAAAAAGGAGAAATGATTAAGGTGAAAACATTATGCAAAGAAGCCAATTAAGGACAAGTAGAATCAGTGATTTTGAAAACTGGGGATAGGAATTTAAAACATAATAGTGTGGCCATAAATAATGGTGCCATTGAAATTAATAGCCAAACTTAACTGTAAGATGAATATTCCAGAAAATGTTGGTCTACTTTCATATTTTCTAGCTCCTCTAGGGAGTTTCCATGCCTGGAACTTTGAATTAGATTATCTCCATATGTAGTTCAAATCTCGGAATTAAGAATGAGAACCCCATTTACCATACTTGTAGCATTTTGATTGCATATTAAAAATACTATTGTTTGGAAAATCTATAGAATTGTATGATTGATAATGCATCTGAACATTGGTCTTATCTGTTTATATAATTGATAATGCATTTGAGCATTGCTTTTATAAATTTACCAAAGTAACATGTAAGTAGAAGAAACAGAAAAGCCTTTTGTAGCAAAATACCGGTTTTCTTACCACAAAATTCTCAGTGGGAGCAGGTGTACCAGTTTTGACATGAATTACATCTGTGGAAAGCTAAAGGAGGAAAGCAGGGAAGGAAGCAGTATCTTTTCTGCCTCTTCTCATCTAGTGTGAAACATCTCATACACTCAGAGAAGAGAACTCTGATTTCTAATTTTTAACTCAGAGATCACCATGACTCTTTAAAAACTTCCCCTCCTTCTAATTCAGAATCGGGATCTTCTCAGCAGGAACATAAATGAAACAGGGGAGTGGAGACAGAAGGGACATTGCTTCCCATAACGGAACTGGAACACAAGGAAAAGATCTAGATAAGAAGAATATTTAGTAATACCACAATTCATACACCCTTCATCAATCTGGAGAGTGTACTCAATAAATGCCTTTGCTGCACCACATTTCTTCTACTTACAGATTGTCCCAGAAAGGGCTGATTATAAAGCAGCTCTCCCCCAGCCTTGGAGGTGTGTCTGGCACTGACTGTACATCTCCACAATGAACAAAAGGGACCCAGGGGTGGAAAGATTGATAGATCCACCACTACCTGCATCCAGGAGACCTCGCATGGCAAGAGGAATGGCAAAGGTTTTTATGCTGATCTCATGATCTGTGACAGGAAA